GGGCCCCTAGAGCCATTGTATCCCCTAGGTCCCACTGGTCCTTGAGGACCATCTGGGCCTTGATTTCCTTTTGGTCCTTGTGGACCAGGTGGGCCTTGGTTGCCAGTAGGGCCTCTCGTACCGTTGTACCCTCGAAGGCCCATTGGTCCTTGAGGTCCAACAGGTCCTCGAGCTCCATTTTTCCCTGGGCGTCCATTCGGGCCAAGTTTTCCAGGGGGTCCTCTAGGACCTTTTCTTCCAGTAGGCCCTATAGGGCCCGGGATGAGACTTATATTTCGGACCTGAAATACAAATTTCCATATTAATAAGCAAGAAAGATAAGAATTTAAAGAGTTCGTGGTCACACTGCTAATGACAAATCAGTTCTTAAATAAATTGATAATTATAACCCGATATTTTAAATTACCTCAATATTGAGTTTCGTTATCTCTTGAACTGACTCATTGTGAGCTTCCCAAAGTTGCGTCAGAGATATTTGTATTGGATCAACCTGGGAAAATTGTTTTAAAATACTTCACTTTACTGATTAGTTGGGAGCGCACACAGCACGCGCGCGCACTTTCAGTTGCGTCATTATCTAAAATAAAGGTCAGGATTGTTATTTGTATTTTATTTTAAAAATGTAAAAACTTGCTTGCTGTGCTGTTTGCAGCAATAAAGCACTTGGGGATTGGCAGAACACTCGAGGAGTGTCGAGAAGCACTCCACTACGCGTCGTGCTTCTCCTAACACGTCTCTCTTGTTCTTCTAATCCCCAAGTGCTTTATAACTTGACACAGTACGAATGCGAATCTAATGACCAGAAAAGACATCTTACGAAAGGTGTGTTGCTAGGGGTGACACTGCTGGTCATATTAGTCGTGTTCAAGCTGCTGGACTGTGTTGGTTTTGTCTCTTCTGTTGTCATKGATACAGGTGTCTCAGTCGTCGGTTTCATKTGTTGAAGTTCTTCTCTTGTACTTTTGAGGAGAATCCACAGTCTTTGTAATTCTTCGTTTTGTTTTCTCTGAAAGATAATAAAACAGCATTTGATATGGATTTATCAAGGTGAAGATTATTATATCCTTGTTACTTTTGAAAAAGGGACTTCATCAAACCAAAACGATTAAAGAATTGAACACTGAGGGTCTTAAAATTACTAAGACAGTAACTTAGTCCTTCAAGTGGCTAGTTAATGGTGGTTCCCTTACTAAACAATTAGATACGATAAAAGAGGACCACGATTTATTAATTTGCATTCATAAAGACACACAGGCAGCCCAAACCAGCATTGAGCATGAGTTGCCTCAGTAACAGCACGCTGATGGTTATCATACCATTGTGTTTAATATCTCTGACACATTTCTTTCCATCTGATCCATTTCTTTGACTTGTTTCTGAAGCTCTGATTGGCGAGGTACTGAAAAGTATAAGGAATCGTAAACATTGGAACATGCATCCATATAAGGTCTACGCACATACATAAATGGGGCAAAGATGCTGTAAGCACTTTCCTAGGGCTCAAGCTGGATAAAATAAAAACTGCAAATGGAGGTACAAGTAGTTAATCATACATAAAATAACCACACGTGAAAGATGCGCGAAGGATGCAAATGTCTTCGATTGCAACCCACTAACGAAAAGTCCAACGCCAGTTTGCCCGGATGAACTCAAACAAATAAATTAAACAGGAAAACAGTTAAGGAAGGCAGCACTAGCGAGACAGTCATGCGTGTGACTAAGAAGAGTAATACTTGATATCTATAAATTTTGTATGCGGTAGGTCGTCAGTGACATCTTGCTATGCAGGGAGGGTTAATAGTTTCCCCGGGGGGGGGGATACTCCGCCAGAATTTGGGTAGGGGTGTTCCGCTGGGATTCTGACAGGGGTACCCTGTTTATGACAAAAAAATCAAATTTGTAGACCCTGTTTATGACAAAAGATATAATTAATTGCACTGAGTTCCTGTTTCAATTATCATGTCATCTCGCGTATCGTTTTTTTACGACCATGGTAACCAGTTTCAGTCAATACGAAAGTAGAATCCCTGAATATGACAAGAAACTCAGGAAGAATTCGGACCTTGAGTGAAATTGCATACCCTGTTTATGACAAGAAGCTCGAAAAACCATACCCTGTTCAGCGGATCATCCCTGTATAGTCCATATATGGGAGTMCCCCCCCCCCCCCGGATAGTTTCCTACCTAAACCATGTGATGCCATACCCCAATGACTCTACAGCAAAAAATTCAATTTAGAAACCGAATCCTTTATATATTTTAACAAAGATTTTCTATTTCAGACCTTGGTTATAATGTAAAAGAAAATTTTTTTTAATTATTTTGATGCGAGGAGAAAAGAGTAATCCTATGACTTAAAAGGCTATATTTCCAACCATGGGGGTTAAACATGAAATGTTGTTACAGATGAGCATGCAAATCTCTGGCGCTTGATAATGAACACGAATAGGATGATAATTACTTTAAAAATAGATTTCCAGGACTGGACTGACCATGACATTGACATTCAGGTCCCGCAATTACGTCAATACTGTTTGGTTTAAACATGAATAGACATATGGAATCGCCAGGGCACGGGTTCAAATCCAAGACTCGGAATTTTTTCTGAGTCTTTCAATTTGCAGCTGCATAAGTTGCTTCATATACTACAAGGATCAGCTCAATTCGATACATTACAACCGCAGTACATACAAATATATATTTCATATATATTCTTATACACATATGGATAAAATATATCTTTTTTGATAGATTTTGTATTATTTTCAGGTTCGGTTTTTAATCAAGCCGAAGGAAAAAATCATCCTTATTAGTCAATTACACAGAACTTATAAATGACATGCTTTCACCTGACAAACTTAGAACAGGTTGAAACGTGTAACACTTTAACCATGCTCCGGAATACTAAGATAAATAATAATAATGATAATGGGGTTCTTATATAGCGCATATTCACATTTTCTTAATGCGCTTTACATTGCAGTGGAGGACTTTACGGGCTGCATATTAAGCCGTGCAGCTTACAATCATGAGTGATTTATTAGTACATTAGTGTTATGCCTCCAGATTGGGATAGGCTGTGGAACCGGGAGAAAATACACGAATAATTCAACAGGTTCTTTTATGTCCCCCATTCACTGTAGGTTAGGAAGGGTTGGGAGACAGGGACTACGGTTTTAAGTCCTTGTCCGAGAAGACTTGAAGGTCTAACCATTTCAAGTGCAGATGTAATTACAAAGGCAGCACCTTTTCCTCAGTTATTTTAAGACCCTGAGTGTTGGTCCGGCCTAGGCTTGAACCACGACCTCCCGCAAAAAAAACCCGACGCTCTTACCAACTGAGCTAACCGGGTGGCAGATATGCAAATCAGTTTTGATACCATATTTGGAATTTCCGGTTTTTCCGGGTAAATTGTAAGCACCCCAGTTTACCAAGCCTACCAAGTAATTTTCTTTCACGCTCGAGATGAGTAACACCTAGCCTGCGTCACCTGAGTATCAGGCTCTTTCACAGGCCCCCATCTCATCCGCAGGCACCCTACCAAGGCCTGATACTCAGGGCAAGCCTGCGTAGTGATAAAATCAGGTAAAATCACTATAATATCTGTTCACCTGATCTCTAACCACCCTGGATACCTAAACTAATGCAACGAAATACCTCTTTTTTTTTTAGTAAAACGCTTTCCTCGAGCGGCGATGCTTTTATATTTCCAATGTTCTTGTCTCTTGCTTTCTCTTTGACGGCAGCGCCGTCTGATTGACAAATCAGATGTTTAATTTCTCAATTTGTGACCGAGGAAAGTTAGGGAACTATCACGATATACTTAATGACATTCCTGAGTATCAATATGATGAATTATGGCTGGATGAAGATGCTGGTGAGGTCAGAATTAAACTTAGTAAGGCACGCATGGCATTAGCAATACTAATGTCAGTGTAAAGAAGAATGGATCTACGGCGCATGCGTCGTATCTTGCATACACCACCAAATATACTACAAGTTGATACACATCTAGACTGCATACGTTTTTCTTTTTCTGCATACTTACGCATAAGCAATAATTTTGAAAGTTTTATAATACACTCTAGAAAATTACTCGATTCTGATTGGACAAGACGAGTACATTAATTCCCAAATTGTACTCTGTAGAGTCCCTATTAAGCTTCTAAGTTTTGTTGAGTGTATCATAAACAAAAAAATGCACAATCTTCTCGTACAATTCAAAATTTATAGATACTCATGATGTTTTGAAAGTTCTCAAATCAAACTCGCCTAAAGGATCGCCCAATTTTAAAAACTTTCAAAACATCACTCGTACCATAGTTAATATTAACTATGCTCGTCTATAAATTCCGAATTGTACTCGAGATCATGCGATTTCCTATACATAAACAAAACGTATCTAACAATTATTTGATTCCGTGAGCATATACCGAACAGATCAAGCTGAAACCCCCATCAGGCGATACCCCTTGCCCGATATGTAGTTATTCGTTACCCCATCGATGGGGAGCCATTTGTTCAGTTATTAGATTATTCGCGCAAAAAATGGTAATCGAAACTGCGAAAGAGTTGCATTCATAAAAAATTAAATCAGATGTGTGTCGACGGTGAGATACATTTTATATTGTTAATCCGGGAATGTGTCCATTTTTGAATACCTATTGTATGTATGACTGAAAGATCTTGAATGCGTGTTAGAACTAGAGTACATATCGTGTATCGACGGAAACTGAAATGTTTATTCTGCTCGGTAGCTGTTTCCACACAAAGTAAACACTGTTTGTTTTACTTCACGTACCGCTGTTTATTATCCGAGGAGAGAAGAACTGTGTCTTATCCAATCAAATAAAAATAATAAAAATATAAATAAATAAAGAGGGGTTTAACAGTGGATTCAAAAGAGTGGCTTTTCTTCCACTGGATTTCAGCTGGAATTTAGAAGTTGATTTTTGCCGAGGGAGGAAAAACCAGAGAACTCAGAGAAAAACCCTCGAGGCACAGGAAGGAACCTACAAGCAACTCTATTCACTTACGACGCCGAGTCCGCGGGAAAGCCATCCTGTGTCTGTGAGAGGCGAGCCCTATCACTCGCGCTACGCCACCCGTGCTTTAAAATGAAGACTGTATATTTATGTGTACTTTATTGTGTACTTCATATGGATTACAACAGATCCACCCCTGTTAAACATTTCAACAACTGGGTGTACAGACTAAACCGTAATATGTGATAAAGCCACGTTGGTGGTATATCATTCTGGAGAAATCTGATTCCATCCACACACACCATAGAATACTRACGTGGTTGTTGAATTCTCGAGCTTAACCCTTGCACGTAAAAGCAAAATACGAGGAGATATAAAAAGAAAAGGCTACTTTGGAAGGTCATAGAGTCAACATTGAAGTGCACTGATCTTACCTTACGACTGATCTTTTAAGAGCTCGTGTAACTAAATGATMACGATTTCATTTATCGATGACTATAGTTACGGGACACCACATTACACTACCGATCTGCTATAGAACCTATTTATCGCTCCCAAGAACTTGGATCCGAATTGTGAATAATTGAACGAGGTTAGAGGCATCAACMWAAACATTGATCCGATTCTTACTGTGTTATAAAGCCGGGCATATAGTGACCACATACCAGTATTTGAAACCCGTTTAAAAAAGTATTTTCATATCTAAGTATCGGATAGTAKTCATGATTCGCACTAGAAGAGAACATTTACCAGGTCCAAGCTCGAGAGGTTTAYAAGTATCACATGACTTGATCCCTGAACATTTTTTGTGAAATAGTTTCTAGTAAAGCTAACAGGGACTGACGCAAAACTAAGAATTCCGAAAGGAGTAATCTATAAGTAAACATAGAAGCGATTGATTTGAGTTATCGTCATAAGACTTTAAATCAGGATGCGAGGAAATACGGATTAATAAATGCACTTGCACATTTACTCAATTCAACAGGTCCTATTACTGAACAAAATAAACGCTTGGAGGTACTACTAACATTCCTTTTTCCTTTCTACGCACTTGAAAAATGATATTAATATTGTAGAGATTTTTCAAACAATTGAACGGATGGAAGGAAATTGTAAGCCCCGTTTACACTAGCGATTTTTGCAGCGATTTTTTTTTGTTTTTTTTTGTTTTTGTTTTTGTTTTTGTTTTTGTTTGCGATTTTGTCCATAATGAATAATGGTAAAGAATTTACGGTAAAGTTTTTTTACAGGATACCAAGATTTTCCTAGACGAATGTCTCTTTTGAAGGATGAGACAAAAGATTTCATATTTCCGAAAATTGCCACAAAAATCGCAGCAAAAATCGCAGTGTAAACGGGGCTTTAAAGAGGTTTGATCGTATACCTACCTTGATTACTAGTAGAACACGTACATCCTGAAGGCGAACTAATAAATCCAACCAACATGAGAGCAGTCAACAATAACCCGCCAATAGATATGAAACAAACCACTGAGATCATCACACATATTTTCTTGTACATTTTTTTATCTTCATGGCCAGATTGGCTTTCGTCGTCTACCAACCCCCACCTAGAGTCGCTACTCACAGGCGAWTGGTTTCGACTTTTCTGTCGATTCGTGGGGACTGTAAATAAATCTGCTGTTGTAGGCTGYTGCGATGCGTGGCCTCCGTCATCTTCACGGATACATTCTAGATTATCCCTCGTTTGAGAAAGTTCAATAAAGGCATTGGATAATAACGCTGTTGAACGGCTAGCCATTTGAATAGAATGTTTAGTTTTGGGTTCTTGGGAGCCCCGTTTCTTTGAGCTGCTCATAGACTCGAATAARATTGGTTCAACACGACCCCCAAACTGATTCCTGTGAAGAGGATCTCGACTCATGTCAGTAGACTTTATATTATGATTAATGAACACGAAAAAACCTGTTGTTTGATTTTCTAGAATTGAGAAATTATACAAAGTAAAATTGTCCCTCAGTGGAAACGTGGTGCACTGGTTGAACTGGCGGAAGATTTGTTTACAAAAATCCGGAAATTGCACGGCTCTCATATGGGCTCATCCACCACGTGATCATGCTGAGAGTGGCCGAAAAAGGTAAAGGCTTTCTAGATATCCAGTAAAATCAAGTTAGTACACGACCTACGCTCTGGGCAAATTTGAACTGAATCTCAAACCCTCAAATGTTTATTTCAAGTAAAAGTCTTTCGATGAAATCTGTGGTCATGGAATAAAATGAAATGTTTTGTAAACACGTGTTGTTTGAGAAGAAACGTCTTTATGGCACTAGCTAAAAACTAGTGTGAGCTGCGTCGGTGTTTCTAATGAAACAGTAATGATGAAAAGGTAAAATTAAAAGGTAATTTACCTTTTCATCATTACTGTCTTTATGCCACTTGAAGATCATAATCTGCTTGCCCACCCGAAGTTCTCAGTTGCGACCGCCCTTTGAGAGGTAAAATTTAGCTGAAAGATCAAAAGACTCCACAGTGTCTAGTAGGGACGAAAGCCCGTGAATTTCTTTCTTAGTGATTCCAAGACTAAATAGCATCAATGATTGACTGCGATGGCCCTCAGAAATAAGGAATTGTAAGGGGAATWAGTTTTATCGGAGTCTTAAGATGAATGAATTTTGATTAACTTTAACCATAACCACAGAAAGAAACTTCAAGATTTTTAATGGGTTTTAATTAATTGGTATCTAAACTGCAACGGTTGATAAGAAATTTCTAAAATACCTGCGGTAAATATTTAAATTGTTCGGACATTTTTCTGTTGGTGTGTACTTTTCTTATATGCACCATGCACTCCATCCCGAAGAGTTGAAATTGTACCAAATTTACAAAGAATAGAATTAGATAAAGCAGATATCGAGTTAGTACTTCTCAACATTTTTATGAGGGTTTCTGTTTGGTGCTGTGAAGAGAGTGGACGGAAGGATGGACTGTCCGTACCAACATTGGCATGGCGGGGACCGCAGTCACGAAAAACCACAAAACCAAGCCTCAATAGGAAAGTAAATTTCGTTTTGTTAAAGTACACAATGAACCGCCATTGACAAAAGCTGGTAAAAGTTTAAAAATCATACAAAGAAGAAATAGAACATCAAATAAAGACAGCATGTTCAAACATTTTGATCTGACGATTGAACTCGTTTACATCTGATGCATCGTCAAGATCATGACTCTGATATATCWGTGTTTCATGACTAGTTTTAGGAAAATCTTAGTTTGTTTCTATGAACGTTATTTAGACAGAGGCTAAATTCGGAGGATAGGAAACTGAGCACTTCATTGACGTGTCTGCCGCATTATCTCATTATACAGTTCTTGTGATTCGACCCCRACTTCTCCTGCACCACTCTTCGCGTTTTTTCTCGTTGGTATGTTTAAGCCAGAACTAATGGGCGAAAACCTTTGTTCCTCCGGTCCTTGTCCTTCAGACTTCATATTGGTGCAAAACAATTCACAGCGTAAAACTTCATTAACGTATCTCAGTGTTTGATGTCCTTCCACGAGTGATTTAGTACGAACAGCATCTAAATATTACTTTCGTTTTTTTCTTCTTTGCCTTTAAAAGCTAGTCTCCCTCGCATCCGTTTTTAGTGTCGTTCGTCACGCACTAAAAACGGATGCGAGGGAGACTATTAAAAAGCAGCCTTATCACTTTTCCTATATACTTTTTGAATATCGTTGATCGCAGTGGAAGAGGTAAAGGAAGAGACATTGACGGGAAAATAGAACCTGATATATATATACTTAGGACTTTACAAGTAGCGTCACATACCAAGTTATTTAATACTGACATTTGATAGGTTATTTT